CTACATATAAGTTAAATAACAAATGTACATACATTCTCTGCAGAAAAACAGTAATGAGAGAACTTTTTTCTGTGGCATTTAACATTTGCATTTACACTTTATAACAATCACTTTTCGCCAGTTGTTTGTCTGCATGTTGTACCATCGTCTCCTTCTTAAAATTATTGGTAGCAATTATTTTGAATAAAGTTAAACAGCTGCTTAAACTATATTAAAATCATTCAAGAAATTAAATTAGTTAATGTCCCATTTTGCTCTGGTTTCAGTCCATATTTCAACATTTTTGCAAAATCCAAATTATTAAACATAAAGATGCACAAAGGTGTGTAAAAAATATTTTCACGTTGAGCTTTGGCTCCCTTGAGGATTTTTGGGGCGGTTTTGTTTGTGGCTGTTTGTCGGGCACATTTTCCTGATGGTTCAGAGGGGACCCGTGAAGTCTGCTGGTCTCATCATCATCATTGTGGACTGCAGTGAATAGCCCGAACCTTTCCAGTAGTACCATTTGATTCCGTTGAATCGATTTGAGTTTTGGCCTTGCTGGTAATACATCCCATTCAAATTGGAGGGACCGCAAGCATCAAACCACCAACCTAGAATATCAAAACAACAATCACTTTAAATTCATTCATGTTGTCAAAGAGGATAACGCATTCATACTTGTCTCTTTCACTCCTGACAGCTGAGCTAAACCATCTTTAAATCCTCTTGTTGTAACCATTTATACACCTTACAAATGTATTGCATTTGAGTTTAATCACATCCTTTATAAAACCTGAAGCTTTGACATTAACAAGCTGTAACATCTACTACATATTGAATGAAAACACAAAGTTGAGTTTTATTTAATTTTTTCAAGCTAGAATCCTGATTTTATGAAATTAATTGTATTAAATTCATCTGTTTTGCACTTGTGGTTGCAGTTAAATTGATGTCGGCATCATGGCATCCTATGAGCAGCTATTTGAATTGAAAGTGGCAGTACATTCCTCTGTCGTGTCACGGTGTCAAGGCAGACATTTCCTATTTAATACCATTGAATTGGATGTGACAGTATAATTGCTACTGCTCTTACAAAACGATGGATCGTCGACGCACACCCCTTTTGGTTTTAGGTCCCCATGACACTTTTTAAGTTCTCATCAGTGTGTGCTGGGGAGACACTGGCTTGCCTTATAACTTGGTTTGGCCCTTTCAATTCAGTTAGGTCCTTTGTCACCTCAAACAGACAAGAGTTGATTAATCTCTGTGGTATTTCAGTGGTGAATTTAATATAGTTCACTGATTTAACATTGTACTTTTGTAACCTTGGAGGAATCTGTGCTGCTGAACCATAGATATATTGTATTCAATGCCTACAAAGAGGAGATGGGGTTTATGGCCTATGCAGCAGCTAGCCACTAGGGGTGATCAAGAAACTTTGGCTCCACTTTTGGTGAGCTGTCATGTCGTCCATCTTTATATACAGGCCTCTTGAACCTCTTCTCATATGTAGTAGTACTTCCCAACACCTGTCAACAGACTTTGATGTGTATAATTGATTTCCTCTTTAAAACCACAGGTAGTGGTTGTTTTGTATTGAAAACCTTTGCACTCAGAGACATATCTTATACATTTAGCTCCCATTTACACACTGGTTTACAGCATTTATTAAAATTTGTATTCATTCAAAACAGCCCACTGTACCATTTACACCAGGTCAATGCCAGTCAGTCACGATTGTGCATAATGTGCATATTGAGACTTCCTTATGGGGAAAAAGAGGACAGGGTTGGTGTTTTCATGCTTTCACGCTCACTTGGCAGACCTTAATACAGAGGGAGACAAACTGCTGGCAGCCGAGTCACTTTCAAGGGAACAGAGGAGGACCTTCAAGCTCTGTTCCCAGGCTATTAATGTCAGCCATTGTAGGGGTTGAATTCCCCAATGAGTTGATCAGTGATTAACTTTGAGCTAATTGTGCTCCTTGACCAGGCTACAAAAGTACGGGAGCCCTTAAAATGCACTTGGGAGATTTTTTTGGGAGGGTCGTGCTGAGATTGGAGCGTGTGGGAATGTGTGGCCATCGCAAATGAACATGATTTGTTTTGTTTTGTTATTTTCCTAATGAATAAGTTATTTACAAAAAATGTGTTTCTTACCCCCTGTTGTCAGCTGTGAACATTTGCAAACACATTTGTCATTGTCTGCATCCTTTGTACTGAAATCACTTCCTGGCTGCCCGATGCTGCTTATTTTGCCTGCTGTTCCACTGTAGCCTTTAAGGTGTATCCTGTAGAATGGGAAAAGGAGAAATGAAGGAAGAGGAGGAGGAAGTTCGTGACTGCTGTTCCTCAAAAGGCAATATCCGACTTACTTATACAGTTGTTTGGCTGTAACTTCACTACTGCTGCTAAAATGGGTTTTGGCATAGATTAAATGTCTCTACACATTTTCACGCTATTTTCATTTTCTTTATCGAAGGAATTGTTTGCTGCTATTTGTGTCATCTCTTTATAGGAGTTTGAAGTTGCTGAGCCAAGTAACTGTTGACCCAATTGATCATAGTTGCGTAGAGGTGGGAATGGAACTTGGTTGAATTGAAGCATTTCAAGTTCTGTTTGTCACATCAATTGAATTGAAGTAGCTTGGCTTTACAGTAGAAAAGCTTCCTGAAGGTTCTGTTATTACTGTATGTAAGGGATGCAAAACACATTATGTATTTCCTTATTTTTCAAATCCTAACCAGTTTTATTACATTTTCTTTGGGCTCATGCCAACTTATCATCATCATCAGGAAGTATATACTCTTACAAAGCACTAACAAGAGGACCATTAATGTTTTGTTCTTCTATACAGTAACAGAAGATCAACATTTATGACCAGATTATGTCCTGTCGTCTTGATAAAAACTGCTTTCCAGGAGATGAATATTCATTTTACTCTCTTTAAATTCTGATGCGGATGGCGACATTGACTTATACATCCAGTCTATTGGAATATGCATGAGTAGATGATCTCAGCCAAAGCTCCTGTGCTTTTATCTTAAACGATGTTCATGTATGAAATAGATTCAGCACGACATCTTATTTCTTATAAGACGGGGCTCCATGAATTCATTTTCTTTCATGGAGTACAGCTGCTGGATTTTGTCACTATATGCAGAATTTTAAGTTTTGAGGCTCCACTTCACAGGGTTCCACAGTGTTAAGATATAAATAAAGAAATAGAAGTAGCCTTTAAACGTCTTAAATATGTAAAGATATTACCTATTTGTTCTTAAATACATTTAGGTGGGTCTTACTTATGTTAACGTTCGTTTAACTCATTTTCTTTCACTCGCTAATGTTGAGCTTTAACATTAGTCTTTTAAGAGAAAGACAATTGTTTTTGTCAGCATGCATAGTTTGTAATGTCTATGTGTGTTCTAGATCTTTCTCAATGATACAGATATTAGCACACTAATAAAACTACAAACAAGACCAACACAGAACTGATAACTGAGTCTATTTACACTATGATACTCTGTGCTTGTAGTTTGAGAGATAACGTGTCATCTTATCTTAAATTATAGGGACATGTATGTAATTCTGACACTTAAATTTAATTCATTATGGTCTTAAAAAGCCTTAACTTAAATTATTTAACCCTGCAGAAGTCCTGCTTTGGTGATGCTCATTGGCTGCAAACTAGCAACAGTTTTTGGTATTTGTTTGGGATAGCAGTAATATATACTCATGGATTTCTTTTTCCTCATTAACTTCAAAATAACATAACACATATTTGCCACCTTACATGCGACACATTCAATAGGGAACACTTCTCTTATGTTATGACATACCTGTAATTTTGTGCTTCGCCGTCAAGAGAAAACTGATCATATTGTGAAAATCCAGAGTTTCCTTCCCAGTCACTCAGCTGGATCCTCAGTATGTACATCTGTTGACTCGTCAGTCTGGAGACAAATTCATTTCCTAACCAGAATTCATTTGAAGGTTCTCCGAACCCCTGAAAAGATGTTACAGAAATGTAATTAAATATTGTTGATCCTTTGCAGTGTAGAGGCATTTAGCTTTGAGTCAATCAATTCATCAGTGAAACAGCACATAGACAGAGAATCACCATGTACTCTTCATTTCCTGCTTTAACACAGTTATTTTGCCCTGAAAGTGACATTTTTTCCATTATAAAACTTAAAGACACACCAAGTTTATCAAATCAAAGAATCAAAGTCACATTCACAGGTAGATTTTTCTAAGAATTCTAAGATTCTAAAGAATTCTTCTCTGAAATGATTTCTCTGTGGGGACCTGACACTGAACTTGACATTCATTGTGGCATTGTGTTGGGTAATTATTTCCCGCTTGGCATTGGCATTGTTGGTCTCAATGTTTTCAACTCGTACTTTCTGATTGTAGATTTAAGTTTCAGATGCACAGACAGAAATATTAAATCTGCTGTGACTGACTGTGGAACTTTAAAATGGAATTAATTTGAATGGATTGCAGATTATAATCACCTCATATCTCAGTTTTATTGGTTGCAGGTTGTCTTCTTTTAACAGTGCAGAGTCACCAGGCCCTTAAAACACTTTCAGTCAGTGGCCAAAACCAAATCTGGCCTCTGTCCTGTGCCACCGGACTGAAAACCCGTTACCTAGGATATATATTTTTTAAAGGGAAGAATTTCTTCTTAATAGTTTTACCTTTTTGTACTCCTGCCACGTACGGTGAAAGTCAACACGGCCGTCGAAGCGTTTTTGTAGCACTGTCCAGCCTCCTCCTTCTGTCTCCATGTCACAAAAAGCCTTCAGACACGAGGAGAAAAAAAGATCTGCTGTAATTAATAATTCAAAACGAATGCTCTGTAATGATCTCACAATTTCACAAGGTTTGGTTCAGTTAAAACAACTTTTAAGCCAAAGAGAAGAGGAACAGAGTTGAAGTCCAAGTCTTAATCACTGAAGAGTATCTAAGGAGATCACAGATTTAATTTAACCTCTGGTTTTAATTCCACTTTTTGCAGATCTGAGCGCACTACTTTTTTAGAGTTAAGCCAGTTGGAAGCCATTAAACTGCCTCACTGTACCTTAACCTCCATCGTGGTGTTGGGTAATGTGAGCGTGTAGACTCCACTTTGGGTGTTTCCTGACTTGTAGACAGCAGCACAGTCCATGAACGTGGTTGGCGTGTCCTGCATCATGATGGTTTTGGTCTCTGCAGAGAAAGATCAGCCTTGTTGGTTTGACAGCACACAATTTCACAGTGCTCATGTGTCATCCTATTGGAAGTTCACATCTTCTGGTAGCTAAAAGGATCAAATTAATTTCCTTAGTGTCACTGTGACTGCTGCAGGATCTGCACCAAATTTCACCTAGTTGGTATTAGCACTCCACATCTGCCTTATTGTTTCCATTAAGATCTCAGCATTATTTATGGAGAAATTCACAAAAATGTCTAAAATGTTAAAGAAAATTTGAAAAATCCATCAAAATGTTATGGGATCACTCTTGGCCATTACTCCACCTTGCCACCGTGTTTCAAGAAAACATGGGAAGCTATAACCTCCCTGGCAGAGGTAATAAAACCTATGAATGCTGTGATAAAACTCAGATCGATACGTCTTGATTATTTACCGCAAATATCAGAAACAGGTAAATGTCTACCAAGGTAAAATAATCATACCAGAGACTAAACAGAATTTTGAGGGTGCGCCCAAAGCTAACAAGCTACTGGATATAGCTTCATAGTCAATGGACACATTTGGAAGTTACTCAGTTTTCTCAGTAACTCTGCACCAGAAATTCAATAAGCATATTCCTTTAAATTGTGTCTAACCCTCAGTAGTTCCAGTGGTTACAGCACTCTCAGCCTACAGGTCAAGACTGTGGTTGCACAAATATGATTCTTTAACAACCTTTAGTTAGGTGCTGACTCACCTCGAGCTGAGCTCACAGTGATGCTGTGAATGAGGTTGTTGAGGGTGTCCAGCAGCTCCTGCTGCTGATGCTGCAGGACAGAGTTGTTGGAGGAGACTTTGAGCAGCTGTTGCTCCAGCTCACCTATGATGGCGGTCTGCCTCAGTATCAGAGTCTGGAGCTGCTCCTTCTCCTCTTTGACCATCTTCAGCTCCACCTGCCTCTGCTCCTCCATCTCCCCCACCTTCTTCTCCAGGATGCTAAGGAGTCACAGACAAATTCAATAGTGAGCTTTGTCTTTGTTTTGTCCGGCACTGTACTGTGAGTGAGGCTGAAGTGAGTGAGCCCGCACCTGTTTTTGTTGTTCAGTTTGTTGATTTCATTTGTTTGGACAATTAGTTGTTTTTCCAACTTGTTGGTCGACAAGGAATTTTCAAGGAGTTGCCGCTCAAGTCGAGTTGTATGATGAATTACCTGCGAATAAAAGAAGCACTCATTTCAGCTCTGTCCCTGAGATCATTTACAAAAGAACCTCTTACTGCGTCTGCAGATGGACAGAGGAATACTTTAAATTGAATTATGCTGTTGCGTTTGTCTTCTCCATTTTAATGTTTAATATACACTTAATTGTCACACCTCGCTTCACAGTCTAATACAACAGTCCTAGAAAAATTCTCCATCAAGGTTATAATGTTGAAATTGATTTAGAGAGTTGTGGATTCATGGTCATTTTGGAGGCTGCAATTTGTGATGATGTGAACTGTATTGTGATGTGAACAAATGTGTCTATTGTTTTATTCACCCCACAGTTCAACAGCACCACATATTACACAGCTCCAAAGGTTATATCATTAAGTTGAATAAGCACCTCCCTAACACTACTGCATTTCAATAAAACCTTCAGTAATGGATTTATCTAGGGGCTTTTGTATGAAAATACATTAGCCAGAAAACTGAGTGACTGATAAAATGTTAAACAATGTTTGAAAACATTTAACCTAGAGGAAAGAATAGCAAAAGCATAATCTTAAATGACATAATAAACCTAAAAATGTTTATCTGATCAACAGGCAGTTTGTCCCTTGCCCCCAGTTTTTACCAGGGTGAACAAACAGCCATTTGCAAAATGGAAAAGTTTGACAGGAAAGAGCAACTAAATTCCAATACAGCAGACGTACCTGAGCCTGAACCAGGGAAAACCTTTACAATCCACGTATTTTCACAGATGTATTGAACTAAACTCTGGGGTTGGGGACCTTGCCTCTAATTTCCCATTTTGGAGGAACTGAACTCAGCAAAAAGCAGGTTGTTTACATGGATCCCAGCTATGTGTCTCCAATGGAGCTGTTGATGTCTTTGAACAGACGGATGTGTGATTGTGACAAACTGATAGACCCTTTCTGTGGGAATACGAGTGGGCTAATAACAGGAAATGCTGTACAGTTGGCTCACATAAGGTCATTGACGTGTAGCCACAATAATAAACTGACGCAGTCATGCCTGTTTTCACCCCTGCTTATTTTTTTAACACTCTGAAGCCACATTATTTAATGCACTGTACCACAGAGCTCACTGTGGAACCACCACATTGTTCAGCTGAGAAATCTGTTGTGCTTGTATGTTGACAGGTGCAGATGGGTTTGACCTTTTCTTAGTGCAACAGTGCACATCGGGTGTGTTTTTCTAAACGTTACATCTCTGTATGTTACGAAACAAAACCAAAAGCTCAACCTCACCTGTGCCTCCACGTTGGTCAGTTTCCTTGTTTGCTCGACGGTTTGACTCAGCAGGTTTGTTCCAATTTCTATCATCGTAGCTGTGTGGTTATGGACTGCACTCTGTTGGATTTGGACCATGTCCTGTTTCATACTGTCCTGTATGTAGTTCTCTAACTGCAACACAGAGGAAAGAAAAGCCACCATTTTAAAACATCTCCGTTTGTATCTTTAACTAATGGTTTTTGTTGTACAATGCTGCATCGATAGGGAAGTTCACAGATTGACAACCAGGTGCTGCCCGCTATAAAATATGTTGGACAAGGAGTGGGTCTGTTTTCTTTGCTTTCTTGAGCAAATGTGTTTTTGTAGTTGATATAACATTTTTACTTGTTGGTCCAGAAACATACATTCATGTTGTGGTTGTTAATTCCCTTAAGTTCAGTTAATACCATTGTCATAGAGTCACTGAAAAATGATCAGTTGCCCAATTCTACATTAAAACTCACACTTTATTATAATCAAACCTCAAAACACATCAGTCTTTTATTATTGTGCTCCCTCTTCAATAATACACAACCCATTTTTGGAATCAGTTGCTGATGCAGTAGTTTAGTGAAATAATGGAACATAATACATCATTTAAGCAAACCAGGGAGACAGAATTAACCCGCCTCAAGATATGTTCAATTTAGATTATATTATTCACTGTCTAATTATTAAAGTTTGTCCGAAATGCCAAAATGTGGAAATATTTTCCTATCAAAGCAATGAATTAATATATTAATAAAGTCTTCAGAAGATATAAAACATATGGAATGATTTTAACTGTCTAATCACGTGTTAAAGGTTTGTCCAAATACAGTTTTGTAGTTAAAAAAAAAAAATCGGGTTATGTTTCAAAGGTGTCTCTTTATTAATCATGGCTGTGTTTTGGTTGTAACATTCAATAAACCTATCAGAGTGCCACCTCTGTGTCCCTTTTAAACTCAGGTGCACCTTGGTGGATTCCTATGAGAACATTAGATTTGCCAGGTACTCAGAGTGAACGCTTCATTGCACAAGGGCAGACCACCTGTGTGTGTAACATGCACAGCGTGTGCGTGTAACAAGCAGAGCGTGTGCGTATCGTGCGCCTATAGGTGCATGGTACTATCTTTGCATTGAATTGTGCAGTTCAGGTTTTTATTAGCATAAAGCGCTGCATCTGACCACACCATTTTTAGACCAACACGTCCATGAGCATTCAGATGCATGAGTGCAGTTAAATTAAAACAATGTGGGTGCTGCACAGGAAAAACACAACTGCATAAATCTTGAACTAGCAGATACAGTTGTGTCACTAAGACACTGACTTCTCATATCAAATATTAAACCTCTGATTCATAGTAATAATACAATGGCCTCAAGCAGGGGAGGTTGTCAGCGTGTCAGTGTTTCATCTTTACGAAATTCGTTCTTATCTACCTTACGGTATTGCCGGATTTAGACCAAGACCAATCATTAAGTTATTTCCTGCACGGTGTTCCTGAGTGGCAATCAGGTCACACGTCTCGTAAACAGGATGGAAGTGTTGAGTGAGGAGTTACATCCTTCATGACAGTGTGACTTGTGTACAGCCGGAGAGCAGCGTCAATTAAATGTCTTTGTCATCTATAGTAAGTTATTTACTCATCAGTCAGTAATGTAAAGTCCAAACAGACACATTTATTATTATTTTTCTCTAATGGCAAATACAACTAACAGCTGCAATCAGTGCTGATTTTGTTTGTCTTCCTTTCCTGGTGTCCAGTCTGTTTATGTTCTTGAATGTACACAGGGACGTGTGTTAGGTGGAAGGATTTAATTTGAACTGTCGGCAGGATGTCCCATTGACAGTCCGTGATCTAATCAGTTGTTTACTCCGCGTGTCTCAAAGGCGTCAGGGAGGAATGACTAAGTTCCTCATTCACCCTCCTTCCTCAGTTGTCTGCAGGTCGTGCAGCACGAGATATTTCAAAAATGAAATTACTGTATTCTGACGGGTTTTGAATAAGTACATCAAGGAATTTGTACTGTATATCTCTTCTTTACGCTGCAAGAATTTTAAACATTTAAAATGCTTAAAAAATTACATGCTCAGAAAATAACATTTCAGTCTTGAAGATAAAAGAAAGACGTAGGATTATTTGGCCTTGGTGGAGGTATGTGCTTTAGTTTTATCTGTGATGGAAGATAATTTATGAGGCATCTCAGTTCTTTATTACTCAACAGGTTGTCACATCATTTATCTTGGTTGTTGATGTATTAACAGCCATAACTCACTATAGACCTTTACAGTGTCTAATGCGTCCTCTCTGGAGCCACAGTAAAGAAAAATATGAATAAATGGATACTTTGTAAGCATATGTATAATTACTTATAACGAATATTATAGATATGAATCTGCTCTGTTGTATGGCAAAATATCAAGTTTATTTTAGGGTGGAACTTTGTGTTGCGAAACATTAATCACAGTTTTCACACCTTAGCTGTGATTTCTTGTTCTCCCATATTTAATATCTGAAGTGCAAATGAATTTAATGAATCACATGACAGAACAAAGAAGGTACCTCCTGGATTCACACCAAGTTATTTGAGAGGGATCGTGCTCATTCAAGTACAGATTATAGTCGCACATTATTAATCATCACCGCTTCTTTTAATGTGACATGTACATAACCTGTCCCTGTATCAAGTGTGCTGTTGGGTTTTGTTAAAGCTTCACTGATGTGGTGGTGAATTGGCCTTTGAATTCTGAGCCAGCATGTCAAAGTTTTTGTCTGATTGAGCGTCGTCACTGAAGAGCGGCATCGAGCTCATGCAGAACATCAAAGACGATGCCCCCTGAGCTCCCCCGAGGAACGGATCTGAGCCCGTTTACGTTACGAGATGTGGAATTGTGTGATCAAGCTGTGAGACGCTCTTGTCTCATCTGGCTCGTCTTGTGAAGCTCCGATCGTTAATAGCACTCTGAAGTGGCAGTGAGTGGGAGCTGGAAAAGAAGCAGTTCACTTATTTCTCCCTCAAGTCAATAGCTCAGCAAACTGAAAGCAAAGCATGCGTCCCTCGTGTGGACACCTGTGATGAGTTTTTGTTCATTTCTCGTCCATTATATCCTTTTGTATTCAACAACATATAACTTTCTTATGTTTATTTTCATCTTTGCTTGCTCAGAATAGATTCCCAAAGTTTTAAACTGCTTTCAGACCAACTAGTTCTTCTCGACATAAAACTTTTACAAGTGAAGCATTTTTATCACTTTTGTAGTACAAGTGTTACTTGTGTCTGCATGGTAGTTAACAAGGGGCTGGTGATTTAGTATGATAGTCTGCACATTGAAGACTTCACTGATCAACTGACCAAAATAGTTGTTGATAGATCAATTCACTGATAATTTAATCGATAGGTAAATCTTGAATATTGTGGATTTTGTTGAACAAAGTTGTCAGTGTTGATCAGTTGCTTTTGTAATTTAGTAGATAAATGATTACGGCTGAGCAATAAAACGGTTTCAATATAATTTTCATTATTAAAAAAAGGGTTCAATGAATAGATCGATATATTATTCATGCATTGTGTGGGCACAGTAAGAAGTTATAACATGTTATTAATCTACTGAGATTTGTAAAATGTTTTGCTGTTTATCTAGTGTTTGTCATGACCTGCTCATAAAGAAGAGTTTAAAACCACAACCTTCACTCAGGAGTGAAAATCAGTCTTTAAACTGAAATGACAGAATTACCAATGTGAAATTTGTGGTGACAATTGTTGATATTGACCGATGTGAAAATGTTTATATTGCTATAATATTCTGGCAACATCGTCCAGCCCATCGTCCTCTCAACAGTTGAACAGTTGTCCCTGAATGTTTGCAAGTCAGAATAAACAAGTGTTGAATCTTAAAATGTGTCTCCTCCAGCTGCAGAAGTCATTCAGTAAACATCAGGCAACGTCATAAGTTTATCTAAGTTGTATGATCCAGATGTTTAATTTACAGTGAGAATTTGAGCGGAAGTTCCTCTGACACCTGCATGGAGGCTCTTTCAGCTCTTCGCTCAGTTTGTTGCATTGACTAAATATCATGGATATGATTGAACTTTACCTTGAGCAGCCACTGCGTGTTGTTCTCCATGGTGATCTCCAGCTGCTCCAGCCTCTGCGCTGACTCGTCGTTGTCCACAGGTCCGTCCTTTTGAACTGGGTAGTTGTAGCTGTTGGCCTGGGTCTGACAGTTCTCCTGCTCCGGCAGCAGAAAGGTGTAGCTGCACGGACCGTTCTGGATCTGATACTGTCTCTTACCAACAGCACTGTATCCTGTCCTCAGACCAAGGCAGAAACTTAGAAGTAGTAGGTCAACATGCAGCATCTTCATAGTAGAGTTCTCTTACCTAAAATAAACTCAGTGAAATAATAACTCCTTGGATTTTCAAGTTTTAACTCAAACTTCTCTCAATGATTGTGCGTCGATTTTCCCGACAGCCGTCAAGTGTAAACAGTTCTCTTGAGGTTCTACAGATTCCTTTTAATACCTCTCGGTGGTAGGAGGAGAAAGAGCCATCAGGAATTAGAGGTAGTGTTTGGTTCTCTTAGGTCACCAGTGGCAGACTGCATGTGCTCGCCTTTCATCGAGCCCCCAGCCACTTGTTTGAGCAGCCTATGGCCCCTTCTGATTAGCTAACTGTGTTTTCCAACCACTCCCCCCTCACTGTGGCCAGTCACTGTGAAGAGCAGTGAAGTGGAGATTCCTTTCAGTACACACAACACAGGAGCAGATGCAGAGACGACACATCTTTCACTATATCCTCTTCAAAACCCATGTGCTTTTTTTCGCTGTAGCTGGAACAGCTCTTCAGGATGCAGCTGTCCACCTTCAGGACACTGTGATAGTAGCTGTGTCCATCCCATTCATTGAAGAATGTTTCCCGGCTTACGACAAACACTCAAGCATCTTTGAACACGAGAGTCAAAGGAAAAAGCCTTTGTTTAATGATGTTATTGACACTTTCCATTTATAATCATACTTTGCTCTTTTAAGAGGTTTAATCTACATTAAAAGCAAAATCGAATGATATCTACTGATTATTATTTCACATACATTTTCCATATATTAGGTTCATTTCACTCATAACAGGATAAAACAATCCAATTTGGTCCCAAACATCAGCCAGGATGTTTTCTGGTTTATTAAAAGACAGCGTTGACATTTGTCAGTTCCAGCTGTTAAAGAGACGAGTGTTTCTAGTCTTCCTCTCTGAGCAACAACATGGCTGAAAAGCCAGAGTTACTAAGTTGTGGCTGAAAGAAAAATTATTTTCAGTAGAAAATAGTTTTGAGAATGAATCACCACTGGGTCTTTAGAAAATTAGGAGTCTGGCTCCCAACAACACACAATGACACTGTTAGAATGACAAACCTGCAGGACACAATGGAGAGTCTGGGGCCTTTCTGCAGCATTATCCTGGCCTGAAAAAGTTTTTGAGTCTTTTAAAGGACTCTCATGTCACAGTGAGGACAGAGTGCAGGTGTGTGGTGCAGGAAGTGTATTCACATAGAGGGACGTTTTTGTGCTATACTGCTGGAAAGGGCCTCTAACATAGACTCTCAGTCATTCCTTAAGCAACTTCACCACTTTTGTCAACTGCATCATATTTTATTTTTTGACAGGAAAGCCGCAGATTTGTCCTCTGCAGTGGGATAGAAATACCATAACAGAATTGTAGGAAGTAGGCTGATGTAATACTTACTGTATACGGGAAATGCAACATATTTCAGGCGCATTACCACAGAGGAAGGACACGTCGTCATTTCAAAAACATTTTTTCAGGTGTTTGTGCTGAATCACTCAAACAGTACATTTGTGCACAGCAACTGTTGTGTTTCAATGTGTTTTACGTTTGTTGAAAACATATCGGACTCGCAGGGACCATTCATCCGTTTAATTTGTCTTTGGACCACATCCTATATAAACCACTAGACTTTTTATTTGTCCTGAGACTTCTGCTGAACTGTCGAGCACACACTGAATTTCATTATGTGGAGCTGTTAGGCTTTATTTATTCATCTCTGGTGTTGGATTTTAGGCTGAACGTTCTGTCCACCCTCTCTGTAGACTCACCACCGTGCATAACAAGAAGACCGCACATGCACTCGCCATTAGTGGCTGCAGGGATATTGATTAGGCTGTTGGAGAAAGGAGGTGGGATTTCCCAAGTGAAGCATTAATAAATTGTTGCTGGCAAAATAAAAAAGCATCTCATTTAAACTGAGACAATCTCAAGAGTGTTTTTCAGAGGAGGCTCTTTACCTCATGTATCTCCACTCACTTACAGTTTAAATATGATCCAGATGACATTTTCATTGATTTCTCAGAGAATAATTCATGGAAAAAAGTCAGGGATGTTTTGGGGGCTGATATTTATGAGTGTGTACAATTTGTTGCAGATCCAAATAAAACTCCAGATCGAGTGAATTTAAAACTTTCATTTGATAATTTACCTGAACAATCAGCAGGATGTTCATTAAACTGGAGACAGTGTTTGATTGACAGCTCCCTCGCTCTTGTCTCTCCTCTGGATGGGACTGATCAGACTCTTATCACATATCTTTTTTCCCACACAGGACATTTTGACATGTCTCACTGGGGAAAAGCTAATTATAAATAAAAATCCAGATCTTGTGGATTTAAATGTTGTTTCATTCGGGGTCCATTGATCCTTGTTGGAGGTATGAACTCTTTGAGTGCCCTTCTGGTCTAGATATGAAATAAAATGCATGCAAAGCCAAACTGCTGGTGATGGAGGAGCTGTGAGATAATTTACACAAAACTTGACATAAATGTGTAATATATGTCTACTCCTCACTGTGTTGTTAACAGAAGTAGTCTACGGGTGATAATGAACAGGTAGTGGAAGCTAGATTTTCTTGACCACACATCATAGACAACTTATATTTATTTTAAGTCAAATCTCTAAAGGCTTAATATTGAATTCTTAGCAGTAGAATACTCACCATCTGCTGTTTATATATTCAACATTTTGTTTATCTCTCTTCTGTTTTTCCCTCTTGTGTTTTCCCTCTTTCCTCACAAAAACCGACGTGAAACTTTGTCTTCAATCATTCCCTTTTAAAGTGGACAATGTGGGTTAATGTTAACCTGACCCTGTCTCTGAACCCTGCCGAACAATCCCCGATTATTGAGGTGAAGTGAAACCTGTGTGAACATTGACAAAAGACGAAAAGCCTCAAAGATCATTTCCTGGCATTCAACTTAAGAGGAGAGCAGATTGGTTCAGTCTAGCTACTGACCCCAGCAGATTACAGAGCGGGCCTGTGGTGGGAGCGTCACGCAGCAAAACCAACAAGACTCAGAACCTCACAGAGATGAAGAAACGTGTTCTGCAGTGTCGGCATTATATGATATTGTCACTCATTAGAGAGAAAGGAGTTGTCTTCGTTAATGTGATTCTCATAAAATAATTACATTTTTTGAACTTAGCAGAAAACATAACCTGTGTTAGTTTTTAAAACAGTTTGTCATTCTGCTGTAAACCTCATTCTGTTAATGAGAAAATATAAATTAGTTTAGGTAACACTTGCCGCAGTGACTTTTCAGTATTTACTCATATTAATATATTTTTTTAATTTTTTAATTGCGTTTCATGGCACATTTTTCATGTTTCTCAGGTTCCTCACATTGATATTCAGCTTCTGCTGTATCACCAGCAGCCACCTTCAGGCCACTTTCAGTACTGAATCAAGGTTTCACAGTTATGACTTTTAATGATTTTAAAATGAGATTCTTCAGGGGAAAAGTAGATTAATCATATAATTATTCATATCATGTAAATTTGCTGCATTTGGGCAAAAGAATGTCCCTTGACGTTGATTTATGTTCATGCAGGTTCATGGTACTAATCTTCATCATGATAATTTTCATGTTAATCAAGAGTGAAGTCCTGTGGCTGGCATTCCAGAATTACAATGAAGTTTTCTTTTTAGCCAGACAATGTTTCAGAATAATCTGAATCTAATTTGATTATTTTCCTGAACAATCAGCAGGATGTTCATTAAAATAGAGACAGTGTTTGATTGACAGCTCCCTCACTTTTCTCTCTCCTCTGGATGGGACTGATCAGACTCTTATCTCAAACCTTTTTTTTCACACAGGACATTTTGACATATCTCACCGGGAAAAAGCAAAGGTGTAAATAATTACATTAAAATCGTCTGAATTTCTCTCAGTTGCTCTCATTGCTCACTGGTTCACTTACACTTGAATACAGCAATCATTGTTACATCTGTGTTTTTCTCACCATCTCAAGTCAAAATATCTGCTTTGAAAAATACCTCTGGGTTTAGTGACACTATATATTTATCCCCATATATCCATCCATTTTTTCATAGTAATGAAAATCGCTGGAGCCCGACCAAATAATCCAACATGAAACTTTCACAGAATATTGTTATCAGATTTATGTTAACTGATAAAAAACATTCTCATGTTGGCTGCACTAATAGCAAAACTGTTATCTTTAATTTCTTAATTGAATTTCCATGAATTTGGTTGTCTATGTGTTTTCTTTTTCATGGTTAAACAATGGAATATCAAGCCTCAGTTTAATTTTTTTTTTTGTTATTAAAACATTTTGATAATACTACAGTAATAGTAGCAGTTCCAATTATACATTTGATAACAGCTTATTAATAATTAATAATAGGATAAGCATTGAGTAGCTCCTGCAGCTCTGGAGTCACAGATGCAGTACCTGCAGAGGGAGGACAGAGAGGAAGTTCATTTGTCAGGTGTTTAACCATCAGTGTCTCCTCAGATCTGTCGTCTCCAAAGGCACCTGTCTGCCGGGGAGCACCAGCAGGACCTGTTCCAAGGTCAACCGGCCATGTTCGTGTCCCAGTACTCCCAGCCGCCCACTCAGAGTCTGGTTGAGCTGATCCAGCTCTGTGGAGGAACAGTGTGTAAAACTATACGGCAGGCGGGTATCTGCATAGGGAGGTACAGCGGCAGGAGACCAGAGGGAAGCAGGATCCTGTCGGAGCAGTGGGTTTTGGGTAAGATTTGATATGTTCTGCTTCTCTCTGTGTTCAAGGCTAAATACCTTTATTCTGTCACTAATTGTTTCTCCTGTGTTTTTGTGATTTTATTTTCAGATAGTATCACACATCTGAAGCAGCTGTCATATGATAACTACGATTTGGAGTGAAAGCTGTTGAATATTTTTATTTGACAGTGTCTTCGAAGACTTCTAGGCTTTGTTACCATGGCTTCCTGTTACCTGTAAGGACTGTCAACTATTTAACATGTTACTGTGAATCTGCTTTGATGTTCTGCAGGTCGATTTTTTTATCACATGAATTTTATTTTTCATTATCTAGTAACCACGACTGCTTAAATGTGTTTTGTTCAACAACTGAGACAT